TCCACGTTGAGCTGCTGGAGGAACCAGGTGTGCGGCCTTCTGTGAATCGCCTCTGCTGATGCTGTTCGGGACGGAGAGGGAGAGACTCTGCGGGGGGAGGGGGAGGGGAGGGGTTGATTTATTAAGCAATTTATTTTTCTATTCATTTATTTGTTTGTTTGTTTTTATCGAGTTGTCTTGCCTTGTGGTCGGATCTTGGAGGGATGTGGAGAGGCTGTTCTTGTCCTCTCGACTCGAATGGGTGTCTTTGCCATCCCGATAACAAATGGATGAATAAATAGATAAATTGATAATTAAACCGATAAGTCAACTGTCAAAATTCGAGCAAAATTTCTTGATTTTAATTTTTTTTTTTTCATTATAGATGTATAACTCGAAAACATTATCAACTTGCATACGCGAAAGATCTGAAGAAAAAGGAGAGAGAGAGACACAGTCATTACCCCAAGAGTCCTCGATCAACGGAAAATAAAAAAATAAATAAATATGAGAAGATAAGAAAACGAGAAAAAAATAAAAGAAAGACGAGAAAAAAATAATAATAATAACATAAAAGAAAAAAGAAAAACGAGAAATTTCTCCCTCAAGGTAGTCTCAGAGTTGCAACACAGAGGTCACAGGTAGACCCATTTCCTTGGTTCCTCCGCAACTTTTGACTCCCGAGGTCAGAGGTCAGAGGTCGTGAGGATGACCTGTCGCCGCGGGCAGTCAAGGGTTGGAGGCGAAGCTCAGAACATGGAACTAGTGCTAAATACATGACATGACAAAAATACATAAAAGCTCCTGGATTCGGGCATGACGAAGAGGAAAGTCCCGAATGAAGAGAAGATATAATGTGGAGTCGATGTGGATCCTTCACTGGGAACTGAACCTGGTGCCGAGATTTTTTTTTCTTTCATTTGTATTTTGTATGTTTGGTTAACGTCATTGTTGGTTTGGATTACCTTTCCTGGGGATTTTTTTCCTTTCGGGCTGGAGTAGGGAAGCTGTTGCCGCAGTTTCTCGATTTATTACATTACATTCCATAAAACATTCATATATATATATATATATATATATATATATATATATATATATATATATAGATATATATATATATATATATATATATATATATATATATATATATATATATATATATATATATATATATATATATATATATACATATATATATATATATATATATATATATATATATATATATATATATATATATATATATATATATATACATATATATATATATATATATATATATATATATATATATATACATATATATATATATATATATATATATATATATATATATATATATATATATATATATATATGTATGTATGTATGTATATATATATATATACATATATATATATATATATATATATATATATATATATATATATATATATATATATATATATATATATATATATATTATGTATATATACAAATATATATATATATATTTTATATGTATATATATACATATATATATATATATATATATATATATATATATATATATATATATATATATATATACATGCATATGCATATATTTATGTATATATGTATATATATTCACAGATGAATTTACAATATGATTTGAAGAGATTTTACATCTTTTGTGTCTTACTTAACTTGTCTCAAAACCGCAGAAACGGAACAAGAAGACTAATATTTTGGTTCTTAGTTCTTAGTCTTTAACCTCATTTTTCAATTAGAGGAAAGGGATCCGTTTTTGGCCTGTTTTACTCTTTTACTCATTACTCTCAATCGGGAAGACTACTAGTTAGACTCAAGCAAATTACAGGATAACGACAATCGAATCTGACATTAACACAGTAACACAACACGCCTACATACATATACATACACATACATTATGCATACATATACATACATATACATTATGTATACATATACATATTTATACATGCGTGTTACACACACACACACACACACACACACACACACACACACACACACACACACACACACACACACACACACACACGCGCACTCACTTACACACACACACACACACACACACACACATACGCACTTACACACACACACACACACACACACACACACACACACACACACACACATATATATATATATATATATATATATATATATATATATATATATATATATATACATATATAAAGAAAAACACACATAGCACGAACACACACACACACACACACACACACACACACACACACACACACACACACACACACACACACACACACACATATATATGTATATGTATATATATATATATATATATATATATATATATATATATATATATATATATATATATATATATATATATATATATATATATATATATATATATATATATATATATATATATATATATATATATATATATATATATATATATATACATATATATATATATATATATATATATATATATATATATATATATATATATATATATTGTATTTATAAACATCACTTACATTAAAACATTAAACTATGTCAGAAACACCGTAATGATTGTAGAGCTGTGATAATCACACCAGCCTGACAGAATGCTTCACGGGCTCCGTTAGCTCAGTGGCGAGAAGTTTCCTTTAAGCTGTGAAAACGTGCTAGTGAGGCAGCTCGTCAGGTCAAAAATCTAGTTTTTTTTTGCAAGATAATGACCATAATTGAATATCGCTTTTAACGCCGACATATGAAGTTATTTTGAAAAAAAGGTGATTTTTGGGGGATAATTCTAATCGCCATAGATCATTCTCATTATATAATTCCCTCCATATTTCTCTATTTCTAGTCATCATCTGCACGTCTGTATGTTCTTTTCCTTCCTGTATATAAACATTAGGGAATGTCTATATACACCTGACTGCACTATGATCACAATATCTTGATCGTTTTGACCAACCAGGTTCCTGCATCTCAAAACGTCGGGGAAAATGTATGTTTGAAAGTGAAGAAGAAGAAAAAAATCTAAACAGGTTTTCAAATGTATGATATCATTAGATGTACACTGTGTTTTTATTCATTTGTTTTCATCGTGAAATCATATAACCTTACGAGCTTAAAGACTTCAATGGTAAGAATGATTTGGTGTTTATGTATATTTATAATTCCGTGAGGTATGTGGTCTGATTAGATATTCTGGACAAGGTATGGGAAGCTGGTAGGTGTTTAAACCTTTGCACTAGAAATAGGAAATCTCTTGCCTTCTACATCACAGCTGAAAATGCACGTGATCAGGAGGCTTAAAATAACATTCACCTTCTTCTAAGACTCTCTTGCACTCTGAAACGCCTTGACTATATTGAAGAAATGTTCTCAAAGTCTCCTTAGCACTCTGTGTCTTTCGATATCTCCCGAAGCTCCACAAGACACGTGAAGCCCCTTGCACTCTGTAGCACCTCCTAACAACCGAGATTTTTATCCACCCTCGTATCAATCTTAGATATAGTGTATCCAGGCTTTTTCTCTTCCTTAAACATCAAGCAACTGTACTGGAAGTAAGACAACTAAGCGTCCTCGAATGAAGAGGAGATCCAAAATTAAAAGGAATAAAAAAAAAAAGAAGAAAGAAAGATGAAAATAAAAAAATAGAGTAAATGATATACATAGAAATTCGTAGTTCAGAAACAACACGGCGCCTTACCTGTTTCGAAACGAAGAGCTACTCGTCCCCAAAAAACTCGAGGGTTTGGCGATTTAGGCCCCAGTTCCGAATTTCCACTTGAGGGGAAACGAGGGGAGAGAGGGAGAGAGAAAAAGTCCTTCCCTCTCTCCCTCGACGCCCTTCCTTCCGGCCTAATCATCCTGACCCAATAAGAAACACAACGACAAATGACCGGCAGTTATCGCATTCGATGATATATATTTTTGAGCTTAAGAAGGTAGTTGCCTCATGTCTGCCTTCCTGTCATGCCCTTGCGTCACGGCTGGGCGAGGGTTTGCTATGATGAGGCGTGAGGGCATGAGGGGAAAAAATCGTGCTACCATGTTTTTTTTTCAATTTAAAGCCCATTCTTTCCACGAATCTTACAAAATATCATCCCCTCTGTATACATCATAAGGTTTAGACATCATAGATCTGTTTTATCTAAAGCTGGTATCTTCCGGTGGCTTTCTTGATGAACTGAATCTGTCGATCTATTTGTTTACATGATGTTCTTTCCTTTTTTATATATAATTGTGAGTTACGCCATTCATAAAAAAAACATAGTCGCATAGAACTTTAGTTGTAAGACCTATCGCTGTGGTTTGTTGATGGTATATAGCGAGGGTATATTTCCCCTAGCTTAGCTGAAGATAGGACATTTTCATTTATAAAAAAGAAAGAAGAAAAAAAAAAAGATATATATACATATATAAGTCGTTTTATAGATCTTCTCCTCAGAGATCTTACTGAAGATATTTTCATGTTGATACCAGAACTGTTACGTTAGATGTTATGATGATTTTGCTATTAATCTAACAAAGACTGTCCTTACATCTACAGTATATATTCTTAGGAGCATTGTATATAACGTTCTCTCTAAGGAACCTTTGTTGAACAGTGTCACAGGGGATTTGGTTCCCTAGGGAGACCCCTTTAGCTATCTTTATTAAAAAGCTGATACAACCAAAGTCTTTATAAAGATATATATAAAAATAAATAAATATATATAAATAACATATATAATATAGTTGGATTTTTGCTAAGGCCTTACATGAGATTTTCGATTTTTCCTCCAATCTTGATGTGTGCCAATGTTTTAAAGCTGACCATGGTCCTGCACTTATCCTGTCCCATCCGCTGCACAGTTTTGTTATCTGAGTGCCAAAGGTCCCTTCAAGCGTGGCGCCGGGCATGGAGTGACGGGCGAGAGGACTCCTCCAGACAGCTTAGAAGAAGGCTTAGTCGACCAAATCCAGGGTCTGTGAGAAACTTCTGACAAAGCTGAGGGATATTTTTTTTCTCTTTCATTTTTTTTTTT